CAGATGATTCAAGAAGGGGAACTCCTCGTTTTAGGCCGAAAGGCCTTTGATGATTCTTCCCTCTCCAACGAAGTTTGCTGCCTCAACACCTGGTGGCGCGGCGGTAAACCCTAAACCCTAAACCCTAAACCCTAAACCCTATGCTCTTACAATCGCCTGAAGGGGAGACCTAGGCTCTGGCTTCGGCTGCTCTCAACTCACCCTGGCAGACTCCAAACCCTAGCCCTTTCCCCCAAACGCTAAACCCTAAACCCTAATTCGTGTTTTGGGCTGCTTCAGACTTCACCATGGATGTTACCGTAGAAGAAGTCCTAAACCTTTCTCTAAAACGCTGCCCCTGCTTTAGGGGCCCCCTGGGGGCCCCCCAGGGTACTGGGGGCCCCCTGGGGGGCCCGCAGGGTACTGGGGGCCCCCTAGGGGCCCCACATTGCTGCGGGCGCCAATTTCTATGCACGAATTGGAGAGTTCGTACCCTTATGCAGATGCTGCAGGTAAAACGCTGTTTTAGGGTTTAGGGTTTAGGGTTTAGGGGTTGGGGTTGTGAGTGTAGGGTTTAGGGTTTAGAGCTTTCACTTTTTCCAAAGGCGCAAACCCTCGCTTCCTCTCCTCCAATCCACCCATCCAAGCCGCGCCTTTCCCCGGGGCCAAGGGTTTAGGGTTTAGGGTTTAGGGTTTAGGGTTTAGGGCTTAGGGTTTGTGCAGGTGGAGGCGAGTTGGCGGGTGGCAGCGATATCTGCGGGGGAGCGAAAAAGAGCTCAACTGGTTTCTTCTTTAAGTGAAAGAAAAAAAATATATTTATTAGATGAAGCAGTTTCGGACTTGGATATTGTTTCTCGAGAAATGCTTTACAGGCAGCAAACCCTAAACCCTAAACCCTAAACCCTAAATCCTGCGCCTGAGGCACATCTTTTTTTCACCCTTTTTTCTCGTAAAGAGTTAAAACTTGAAATAATAATAAAGAATTAATGAATTAAATATTTATTGATTTAAACAATTAATGAATTAAATATTTATTCATTTATTCGTCTATTTATTTTATCCTTTTTATTGTAATTAACTAATTTATTTATTTTTTATTTTTAATTTCTTTTTAGGTTTTTGCTGGAGGAGTCTGAGACGCTGCAGTCCACTGTGGTTATTTCCTCCCACGTCTTTGACGGACTTTTAGGGTTT